GGCGAGGCGCGACCTGGTCGGGCGATCTGGATGCGATGGAGCGGGGTTGGGAGCTGGCGCACGGCAGGCGACGACGAGACCGCCGGAAGCGCAGCACTCGAGATGCCCTATGGAGATGCGGACAGATTCGAAGGTCTTGCAGTGCAACATTGGCTCGTTTCCCCTACATTTCCCCTCAACTTAAAGAGGCGGCCGCCGCCGCCGCCGCGGCGTCCGCGTCGGCCGCGAGCGCGCCGTTCATGCGGTCGAGGAAGGGCGCGCGCGTCGCGTCCGCGATGGCGCGCCACGCGTCCCGCGTCTCCCGCGCGAAGCCGCCCGCGGCGCAGGTCGCGGCGTCCAGCACGCACGCCTTGGCGACCTCGGCGAAGCGGCGCATGTCGAGGTCCTCGAGGAAGTCGACGGTCGCCTTCGACGCGGCGCAGAGCGGCGTCGCGACGTCGTCCTCGCGGAGCGTCGGCGCGCCGTCGGCGCGGAGCGAGCTCCGCGTGTACTCGAGGGCGGCGCCGGACGCGCGGAACCAGTGGCCCACGTCGGCCTTGTCGTAGAGGCCCAGCCCCCGGAGGTGCTCCTTGAAGAGGTCGTTGACGTAGCCCTTGTGCCCGAGCGTCCCCGCGGCGCGGTGCGTCGCGTTCTTCTTCTTGAAGCCGCGGTCCCACTCCTTCTTCGCCGCGGACTGGAGGTGCGGGACATGGACGGCGAAGGCGCTCGCGACGGTGTAGAACGCGTAGTCCGCGCCCCGGAGGCTCGAGATCCACTCGATCTTGTTCTTGCCGTAGCCCGTGAAGCGCTCGTCGAAGCGCGGGACGCGCGCGCTGCCGTTGCGCGGCGTCGCCTCGTCGCAGCGCCGCACGACGACGAAGGGCTCGAAGTGGTTCCCGAGGAAGCAGTCGAGCCGCCGCGGCGGCGCGTCGTCGGCGTCGACGAGCCAGTCCATGAAGCGCGTCGTGCCGTGGTGGTGGAACCCGGAGCAGCGCAGGTTGCTCGGCTCCGCCTCGTGCGCCGTGTTCTCGAGGAGCGCGGGCAGCGCGTGGAGGAACGCGCGCTTCCGGAGCGTCTCCGGCGAGATCGCCGGCGCGGGCGTCGTCGGCTTCATCGTCGGCCGGAAGGGCACGCGCTTGATGACCGTCCGGTGCGCCCCGGGGTGCCTCGCGCCGCCGCCGATGCGCTGCGTCGCGAGGCGCCGCCGCCGGTGCTGCGGGTCCGAGATCGGGTCCTCCCAGTGGCTCGCGCGCGTCGGCTGCCAGCGCAGCGGCGCGCCGCCCTCGGCGCCGTTGGCCACGCACCGCAGGAGCCCGAGCTTCGACGACGGGATCTGCCGCTCGAGCTCGGCCTGCTCGAGGACCTTGGCCGGGTTCTTCGTCTCCGAACGCTGCAGCGTGAGCTCGAGCGCGGGCAGCACGAGCGCGCGGCGCTCCCCCGACTCCGGGAGCGCCCGCAGCGCGCCGACGATGCGCCGCCGCGCGCCGACGCTCGGCCAGAAGTCGACGTCCAGCAGGAGCACGTGGCTCGTCGTCGCCATGGCCCACGCGCGGTTCCGCAGCGCGTTCACCGGGTACGGCCGCAGGGGCGCGACGACGACGGCGACGTGCCGCTCCGTGCAGAGGGCCATGTAGTCGCGCGCGCGGCCCCGGAGCCTCTCGACGGGCTCGCCGTCGGGGGCGGATCCGACGGCCAGCGACAGCGGGCCGTGCCAGCGCTCGCAGAGCTTCTTGACGACCCAGAGCCGGTCGACGCTGCATTGCGTCACGAGCGTGACGTCGAGACGCGTGTGCGTGGCGTCGCCGCAGCCGCCGTTGCTGCTGGTACGCGCTGGCAATGTCGCCAGCGCGACCAGCAAGGGCAGCGTCACACATCGCCCCCCGGGCATAATTATTTCGTGCCTCCTGATCAGGCTCACTGCAACGTTCCTTCAATCGCGTCGCAGGGGATCCTCGGTCCCCGCGCCCGCGTCGCCGGGCACGACCACCGCGCGCATTACTTCTCCGCGCGCGACAGGTCGAGCATCCAGGCGTAGTCGGGCGCGCCTTCAAGCGCGGCGGTGATGCAGGCCGCGGCCTCGGGGGACGTGCGGCCCGCGAGCGACGCGGCGCGGTTCGACGTCTTCGTGTGCGGCGATTCAAATTCCCGGCAGGCGCATTTTGCGCCGCCGCACTCCGAAGGCTCCAGCGCCAGCGTCGTGCGCTTCACGGCCGCGCAGAGGCCGCGCGTCACGTTCTCAAAGCTGAGCTCGATGACTTTTAATCTCTCGTGGACGGCCGCCCGCAGCCCGCGCTGCCAGAGCCGCTTCTCCTCGGCCATCTTCTCGACGAGGCCGTCGCCGGGCAGGCAGAACTCGGCCTCCGTGTCCGCGGCGGACCGCGCGTGCATCTCCCACGACGAGACCATGCGCGCGAGCGCGTTCGACCGGTACTCGGCGACGACGACCTCGTAGCCGTTGTCGCGCGCGGCGCGCATGAGCTTCTCCGGCGTGGTGATGTGGTCCGGCCGATCCTGCTTCGACAGGTGGCCCGGCTTGATGTGCGAGAGCATCTCGTCGCGCCGCGCGCAACGCGCGAGGTTCGTCCGCGTGAGGTCGCGGCCTTGCGGCGCGTGGTTGCGATCCGTGTTGAAGCCCTCCTTGATGCCGTTGCAGTAGCGGAAGTGGGCGCTGTCCTTGAGCGTGCCGCAGTACGTGTCCGTCGCGGACCGCCCGTAGGCCCAGAGGATGACGCCGCGGCGGCGCGGCGCCGTCTTCTTGAGCATGCGCCGCCACATCGGTCGCGCCGGCGCAGCGCGGCGCCAGAACGTACCGTTTTCCGCCAACGCCGACGCCGCCGCGGCGGCGGCGACGCATACCCATCGACATCGACGATGGATTGCTACCATCGTCCAAAGAAGTGCCGGCAGCAAAAAGTACGAAAAAATGGCACTTTCTTCATGTTTGGCACATGGCGAGGAGAAAAAAAAAAGAAAAAAAAAAAAGAAAAAAAGGAGGCGCCGAAGGCGCCGAAGGCGCCGGAGGCGCCGGAGGCGCCGGAGGCGCCGAAGCCAGGCGGAGCGACGCGCGGACTCGTCCCGCCGGCCCGTCTTTAAACCCCGCGGAATTATCCCAACGCGAGTTCTAGTTCGCGCCTCGGCCGCGCCCCCGGCGCGGGCGCGCCGGCGGGCGCGGGCGCGGGCGCAGGCACGGGCGCGGGCTCGCTCGCGCCTAGACCAAGGCCGCCAGGCTCTCGAGCGTCTCCGCGGCTAGCCCGAGGGCGTCGCGCTCGTCGTCCGCGGTCGTCTGCGCGGAGGCGTCCCGGACGGCGATCCCGATGGCGGCGCGCAGGTCGTGGTCGAGGGCCTCGAAGTCGGCGACGCGCCTGCGCTCGTCGTGCTCGCTCCAGGCCGTCGACTGGAAGAGGCGGCCCACGACGAGCTCGGCCCTGTTGCGGTCCGGGGGGCTCGCGTCGCGAAACGAGCGGTCGTGATGTTCGCGCGCGCGGCGCGCGCCACGCCGCGCGGAGGCACTGGTACACGCCCGGCATGTCGAAGAGCATCTTGCTGTCCGTCGCCGACGGCAGGATGCCCATCTTGAGCCGCGGGTAGACGACGCGACGCAGACACCGAAGTCGAGCCGTGTCGTGCTTTTTATAACGGCCGCTCTTAGCGCCGCCGCCGGCCTGGCGGTCCTTCATCGTCTGCTCCAACTGCTTGCCCTTGAGCAGGACGTCGAAGAGCTCGTCGCGCGTCGGCAGGGCGCCCATGGCGCCGGCGTCCATGGCGCCGGCGCCGCCGTGAACCGTTGGAGTCGCGTCGCAGCACCTGGGAAGACCCCCGCGCTTTTGACGA